CATATAACTGTTCATAGTAGTTTCTGATTATTCTTTTGATTTCTGCTGTGTCTGTTGTGATTTCTCCTCTTTCATTTATGATCCTGTTTATTTGTGCTTTCTCCCTTTTTTCCTTTGTGAGCCTGGCTAGGGGTTTGTCTATTTTATTGATTTTTTCAAAGAACCAGCTCTTGGTTTCATTGATCTTTTGGATTGTTTTTTTTAGTTTCAATTTCATTTATTTCTGCTTTGGTTTTTAGTATTTCTATTCTTCTACTGGTTTTGGGGTTTTTTTTGTTGTTCTTTTTCTAGATCTCTGAGCTTCGAGATTAGGTTGTTTCTTTGAGTTCTTTCTTGTTTTTTGACGTGAGCTTCTATTGCTATATATTTTCCTCTTATTACTGCTTTTGCTGCATCCCATACATTTAGGATATTAGTGTCCTCCTTGTCATTCAATTCAAAGAATTTTTTAATTTCTTCTTTGATCTCCTCATTAGTCCAGTGGTCTTCCAGTAGTGTGGTTTTTAATCTCCATGAGGTAGGATAGTTCCTTGCCTTCTTTTTATGGTTTATTTCTAGTTTGATGCCTTCATGGTCAGAAAAGATGGTTGGTATGATTTCAATCTTGGTGTATCTGTTGATGTTTGTCTTGTGCCCCAGTATGTGATCGATCCTGGAGAATGATCCGTGTGCGCTTGAGAAAAATGTGTACTCCTTTTTTTTTTGGGTTTAGTGTTCTATAGATGTCTGTTAAGCCCAAATGCTCTAGGTCCTTATTTAGAGCTTTAGTTTCTTTACTTATTTTTTGTCTTGTTGATCTATCCATTGTTGATAGTGGTTTGTTGAAGTCTCCCACTACGTATGTGTTTTCTCTGATGTCTGTTTTCAGAGAGGACAACAGTTGTCTGATATATTTTGGTGCTCCTTCGTTTGGTGAGTATATGTTAATGAGTGTTATTTCTTCTTGAAGTATTGTCCCCTTGATCATAATGTAGTGACCATTGGGGTCTCTTTTTATTTTTTTGAGTTTGAAGTCTGTTTTATCTGATATAAGTATAGCTGTTCCTGCTTTCTTTTTTGGTCCATTTGCTTGTAGGATTGTTTTCCATCCTTTAACTTTGAGCCTATTTTTATCTTTTGTAGCTAAATGTGTTTCCTGGAGACAGCAAAAAGTTGGGTTTTGTTTCCTAATGCAGGCTGCAACTCTGTGTCTTTTTATTGAAGAGTTGATTCCATTTACATTTAGAGTTAATATTGATATGTTAACATCTGTATTTGCCATTGTGTTTGTCTTTCCTTTGATTTTATTTATTTATTCTTTTAATAACTTTTTTTTTGTCTTCTTTCGTTGTTATTCGTCCCTCTGAGGTTCTGGCTTTAGGATTCCTTGTAGTATTTTTGGGAGTGGGGGTTTAGTCGTAATGAAATTCCGGAGTTTCTCTTTGTCTGGGAAGGTCCATATTCTTTCTTCATAGAGGAAGGAGAGCTTTGCGGGATAAAGTATTCTTGGTTGGCATCTGTTTTCTTGGAATCTGTTGACTATGTCCCTCCACTCTCTCCTTGCCCGTAGTGTTTCTTCAGAGAAGTCTGATGTCAGCCTGATTGGTTTTCATTTGAATGTTATCTGTTTCTTCCCTCTTGTCAGCTTCATTATTTTTTCCTTGTCTTGGATTCTTGGGAGCTTTACTATTATGTGTCTTGCTGTGTTTTTCCTTTCGTCGTGGAAGTTTGGTGTTCTTCTTGCTTCTTGTATATCAATTTTCAGCTCCTTCTTTGCATTTGGGAAGTTCTCTTCAATTATCTCCTGGAATATTTTCTCTGTTCCTACATCTCTCTCCTCTCCTTCTGGAATTCCTATAACTCTTATATTTCCTTTCCTCATGGAGTCAGATAGTTCCCGAAGTCTTTCTTCATTTTTTTTCCTTCATACTTCTCTTTCCTTTTCTGTTTTGGTTCTTTTTATTTCTGTGTCTTTAAGAGTGCTTATTCGTTCTTCCATTTCATCTATTCTGCTTTCATTGCTTTTCCCAGAGTTCTTTAGTTCCTCCATTAATTCTTTGATCTCTTGCATTTCTTTTACTTCCCTCTTTAGGGACTCAATTTCATTCTTCTGACCATTGTTTTCCCTCTTTAGGGACTCAATTTCATTCTTCTGACCATTGTTTTCCCTCTTTAGGGACTCAATTTCCTTCTTCTGATCATTGTTTTCCTTTATGACTTCTGTCACTTTTTTAATCAGGGCAATTTTAAATTCTCTTTCTGGAAGGCTCAGAAGTTCTTCCAAGTTACTGTCGTTGCAATCTGGAGGGCGGTTTTCTTTTTGTGGTGGGCTTCTTTCCTGAGGCATTGTTAGGTTGCGTGTGGTTCTTCTACTCCCTCCTGTCTGTTTTCTAATTTGTCGTATGCATTGGGACACTGTGTTGCTCGGACTGGCCGGCATCTTTGGTGAACTTCTCCGCTCCCCTCTGGCTCCTCCAGGAACCATCTCTGGCTTCTGGGGGAGCTTTCTGCTGGTTTTAGGCAGTCTTTACTGAAGAAATGTTCCTGTTCTAAACTGGCGAAGCGGGACGCAGTCCCTGCGCATCCGGTCTCAGGCACACTCTTCTGCGTGCCCGGTCTGCCTCGGACGTGGGTACCTCCTCCCTCTGTGGGCTCAGACTGCTGGTTGGAAGGGGCCTGGCGTGGGCTAACTTCCCAGCTGGCCACTGGGTCCTCCAGAAACCTTCTGCCCTTTTCAAGAAGTCTTAAGAAATTTCCCTGTTCTAAGGGGTGTTAGTGACTTTTTTTCTGGTCGCTAGGTGGCGCCAGAGATCTCTCCTATTGTCCTTGGGGGGCTGTTTTTCAACCCCCCCACCCCCGTGGGACAGGGAACAGAGAGCAAGAATGGTAGGGTAAACCTCAACGGCTTTGGGGTGCTGTGTCTGCCTTGTGCCCCACCATCGTGGAGAACCCACGCCCAGAATTTCGTGCCCCGGGTCTCAGTTCAAAGCCCTCAGGTCCAGGACGCGGGCTGTAGCCCAGTTCAGTGGCGCGGGAATGGCGCCTTTTGCACCCGCTCCCGTGCCTGGGCACCTGGTTCCTGCTCACTCAGTGAGGACCTCCACGCGTCTCCCCGCAAGCCTAGGTCGCAGGCGTGGGGACCTGGGCAGCCGCGATCCCGATCTGCGTTTGCTTTTCAAGCACGCCAAGCGCGCCGCTTTTCCACGCAAGCTTACCGGCCGGCCAGGGGCTGAGTGCAGGTCTCCTCCAGAGTCTCTTTGTTCTTCTCTAATGGCGACGGGAGCCGTTCGCTCACCGCCGCGGCGAATCCTGCATTGTTCTCCACAGCTCCTGTTCTTGTGGTGTGGTGGCTGCAATAGTTCCTTTCCACTCACAGTCCCGCTTGCTGCGTAGTTTGTTCTTGTTGGTCGTTTTAGTTTGTTGTTTTCCTCCTCTCTACTGGTCGGAGAGTGCCGCCTCTGTGGGCGGGGGAGGGGAGCAGGGTTCTGTGCTTTCCTCCCTTCTAGTCCTCTTTTATGGCAACTTTCTTCTTAGGGCAGTTTGCTGGCGTCACCCGTTTATCTTCCGTGTCCCACTTCTCACTGGGACCTGCAGCTTTTCCTCCCTATTAACTTTTTTTAATGGGAGATCTTACTCGCAGCGTCTCCTCGCCGCCATGTTGCTCTGCCCATAATGTATGCATTTTCATCTTGGTTATAGTCCCCATACAATTCCCACCCCCCTTATTTTGACCCTAATCCCTCATCGACCCCCCCACCAGTGTGTCTCTGGTTTACAGTTGCTTGTTGATGTTGATTTTACTTGTTGATAAAAGGTCACACATATTTTTTTAATTTATACATTGTGCAGAAATATATTGTGATGTTTGTTTTCCTGAGTAATGGGAATAGAAAAGAAGAAAGACAGAGCATTCTAGAGAGTCCACACTTCACCCGAGGAGATGGTAAAACATAGACTCAAAGTAATTTGAGAATGAAGAGGGCTCTAAACAGAATGGGTTAAGGGTAGCTTCCTGGAAAAAAGAGGGTTAGGTCTTGAAAGACCAGTAGTAAACTCTTAGTTACAGAAAAACAGAAAGAATATATGGTGCTAACAGTCTATATGGATAGTACATGGTTGAGGGTGTAACCAGCTTGATGTGAGATGGAGTATGAGAAAGGGCTCACAACAAGGCAAAAAGAGAAGAGATGGTCTTGCTGACAGGCTGCAGTATTTCAAATAAGCAAACATGCAATTAAAGGAAGGTGCAGGAAGGGGAGGAGGAGGGAGAGAGATCAGAGGGAGGGAGGGAGGAGCAAGGGGACTGAGGTGATGGTGCATGGGTGCATTGGGGAAGGAAACTCTATGGGGACTCACCTGAGGGGGTGGAGGGAGGCAAATGTTATTTTTAAAAGAACAATGATATAAGTAAATAAATAAAGGAAGGTGCAGGTGATAATTTGGGCAAAAATTATCTCTTTGAACATTCATAGAGTAGACATTGAGAGAATATTGGGGTATATGAGTATTTCCCTGCCTGGGATATGAATTGTTATATTATTATGAGTTAATCCTCACAACAATTTTATGAAGACTCTTATTTTCTCTACTTAACAGTTGAGAATTTGGTATAGGAAGTACATTAGTTGTCCAAGGTCACAATACTGGTATGTGGAACTGCTAGAATTCAAACTCAATTTGACCAATGGGGACAAAAACCCACCAAAATGTTAAATGTAACTATCCTTAGGCTGTGGGATTTGGAGATGTTTAGAAAGAAATTTGATCGATTCCTCAAAACAGTTCATCACCCTCTGAATGTTTTGTGCATTTATGCATTCATTATTATAAAGTATAATAATGCCATTTTTCTGTCACAAAGAAAAATACAAGATAAGTTGAATTTTTGCTAGCTCTCTATGGAAGAATAACAAATGGATGTGCTAAACATCCTTGTAGGTCCCTCAATCATATGTCTGTGAAAGTTAGACCTTCTTGATCAGCAGTGATATCTCAGGATACTGACCCTGGAGGGAACTCACCTGACACAGAAATGTACACTTCCTTCTCCACATTGAGGATTGGGTTCCTTATGTGACAGGACACACCTTCTCTTGAACTTTTATCCATTGTTAGAAATGTTTCCACATCAAACAGTCCATTTTTATCTTTTGTCTTTGTCTCAAAATCCGGTGCCAAATGCTGTCCTTGTAGGTCCTTCCATTGCACTTCAGGCTCTGGGTACCACCCTGTGGATGTACAGGTCAGCTTAACTTCCCTAGTGTTACCAGGTTGAATGTGAATACGAGGAGACACACCTGAGCCTGAAAAAATAAAAGAAAGACAGAGAAAGTACATGGATTCCAAAAGTTTATTTGCCACTTGCATGGGCCAGTGAACTTGTGCTTATTCATTAATCTCTATAAATATCAAATCTTTCATTTATGAAAGTGGAGGTTAAAAATATTGAATCCAAAGAAATTTGGGGAGGAGCATTAAGTCAGCTTTATCATTTAACAAATACCAAACATGTCTGTGTCACTTGTTTTCTTTTTCCTTCCTTTCCTTTGAAACATTACTAATAATTTTATCTGATTTTTAAAGTTCAGTAGCAGAACATCTATCAATCCATTTGCAGTCCCTGGATTTACGGGAGCACATCAGTTGGTGGTTTTCTGTAGCAAATTGCACATTGTTCCCCAAATATTCAGTTATCCTTTCTTCAAGAGAAGTGATTTCCAATAGGAACCTCCAGGGATGTTGGGAAGACTCTCAACATAAATATGATTTAAATGTAGTTGCCACAGTAGCTACTGAGCACTCAAAACATTGGTAAGATTAACCGAGCTTTTAAAGATCAATAAATAGCAGCATCGTCTTACCATAACTAATACAAACTAATACAAACTAACCAAAAAACGGCATCAAATTTAATGGAACTGAAACATCACTGTTTGGGGTTGAATTGTGACCCCTAACAAAGACGTTCAAGTCCTGTTATTCAGTATCTGTGAAAGTGAACTTATTTGGAAACATCATCTTTATAGATCAGTAGTTAGTAAACATGAATTCATACTGGATTAGTGTATTAGTGACTGGTGTTTATATAAGTACAAGGAAATTTAGACACAGAGACATGGGGAAAATGGCTGTGCAAGGATGGAGGCAGAGACTCGAGTGATTACATCACCACTGAAGGAACACCTGGTGCTACCAGAAGCTGGAATAGGCAAGGAAAGATTCTCCCCTAGACATCTGAGTGGAAGCATAGTCTTGAGGACACCTTGATCTTAGACTCTGGTCTCCAAGATTGTGAGGGAAAAAAACTCATTTTCAAACCACCCAGTTTGTGGTAATTGTTACTGGACCCTAGAAAACAAGTATAACCTCCTATTAATTTGATGAAGGTAATTATATAAATGATCTGATGTTGCTTGGATGGCCACACCCTGGAGAAACACCATGAGATGACCAGTGAGTGGTGCTCTAAGCCTGGGACGACCTGGAGGGCACAGTGGTGGTGCCCAGTGCTGGTGCTGAGAACTACTGTGTTCAGAAGGTAATGTCCTTGAAAGCAGTAGAGTATTGTGGTTATGATGATAACTCTAGACCCAAAGCATAGGTTTGTACCTGTTCCCATTGGTCACAGAGTGCAACTAATGATTCTCTCTCTGTGCCTCAATTCTTTTTCTGTAAAATAATGGTAATAATAATCTCTATGCATTGGATTGGTGTAAGAATTACTCCATGATGTGCTTAGTGGTTCATAATAAATTAACATGACTCACCTTGAAGAGTTAAAATCAGTTAAGAATATAAAGAGGGCCTCCCCGGTGGCGCAGCGGTTGAGCGCTGGGTTGCGAAGCTGCCCACGGCCTCTGCGGCGCCGGTTCGATCCCCGGCTGCTCCCCGGCCACCAGAGGAGGGTCCCACATGGCGCGCAGACCTCTCCTGCCGCCCGCTGCTCCCCTCAGCAGTGTACTTCGGTCCTTCTGCCTGCTCTGCTCCCCGCTCTGGCTCTGGTGAATTGTCTCACCCTCCCGCGCTTCTGACTGTACCCAGTGCTTGTATAAATAAATAAATTAAATAAATCTTTAAAAAAAAAAAAAAAAAAAAGAATATAAAGAAAAGATGATTTACTTTCACTCTTTGGGAATTTTCATGTGGGAAAAAAAACCCCACAAAACATTATGTCTTGGACTCTGGCTATCTGCTGGGAGAACTGACAGATTTGTGATCGTCAGTAGGTATTTTCTAAAGACATATTTAGTAGGAATATGTAGAAAAATGATAAATGTTTAATTCAGGCATCAGATTTTCTAGGACTAAATCAACTAAGTTGTTCTTTGAATCAAGCAATTTTGTTTTTCTTATTAAGTGTATGGGCTAAGGGTAAGTAAGTACAGCCTCTAGAAAGGTTGCTATTGTAACTGCTTACCTCCAGCATCAATTTTAGAATTGGAGAGAGAAGGGGGGGAGGAGCCCTGCATAATTAAAGAAGTTTGAGAAAAAGTATTCTAAGTGTTTCCAAAACCATTAATTATATGGTTTTATTAATGTTGTTAAGAGTCAAAAGGGAGAAAAATTGCTAGTACCGAGGAAAGTCAGGTTACCTTGATGCTGCACTCTTGGGAGTTTTTGAGATTTGGATGGTCCCTGACACAGCACAGGCTGACTGTCATAAAGCCCATATTTTATCAATTCTGAGAGTTTATATTTTTTACTCTCTTATGATAATAGTGGGGGGAAAAAACCTATATTTTCCCCTAGTGTTGTTATAGGGCAGGGCGTGGGGCTCCCTGGGACCCCCCAAGACTGCCTGCTCTAAATGGGTTCTGCCATGCGCCACATCAAGACAACACATACTCTAGTGCCTAAGACCTCTAAGGAAAGGAACTTTAATACAATTAGTGTGCAATAAAGAGAAGATCAGGAAAAGACTAGTTTCCAGATCGAGCATCCAGAGTCACTCATCTCCTCAGGGGTACATGTCCAGCAAACAGGGTTGGCTCAAAGCAGGACCACTGAGGCCTGAAAACTTGCCACAAGCCTAAGGCACCTTTGGTGGGGACCCTTAGGAAAGGGGCAAAGGTGCCAGACAAGAGTGGAAGGAAAAGAGCGAAATCAAAATCAAGTTAAATGCTGCCATCGGTAACCTCCCCGCGGATCGCTTACCCTCGTGTTTCAGGTGTCTCCTTCCATGTCCCCCAAGCCCTGGTACAAGTCTAAGGCCAAGAACCAAGTGCAACTTCTTTAAGTGTCTGTCTGCTCCATGTGCCTCCTCCAGGTCTCCTTCTGGCTCCATCTCCCTTCCTTCTCCAGTCTCCTCTCCAGCTTCTCCTCCCACCTGCTCAGCTCCACCCTCCCTTGGGTGAGGCAGGAAACCTAGAACCTCCCCCTTCCCTGGGGACCACCTTGTTGTATCAATAGTATGATGACTTACTAGGATTGATAATAAGGCCTCATATTTTATTTCTTATATCATCATATTTTGGCTCAGTTTGGTCAACCATTTTTGCTTTTTGTCCTTTCCCTAATAGTTGTTAACTGATAGATTTGCTTATTTGTAGCCCACTTGGAAGAAGTGATTAGTTAGAGGGTGCAGGGGAAATGAGTTATTCAGGTTCTTTTTCACCTTCCAAACAACAGACAGCCCATAAATTTGAAATATTATGTTTTCCACCTTTGAGACTTCCAGCAGACAACAGCTGGGCCTTGCATGTGCAACAATGTATCAGATGTGTGCCCATGGTTGCCTAACAATGTACAGGGAGCTAGGAGGCTCCAGAAGCCATTCTGCCTTTCAGTCTTGCAGTCTATCCCTGCCTGCTTGCCTGCCTGCCTGTGTATACTGGTCCTTGTTTCAGCATTACAGTTATGTTGAAGTGGAAAAGTCAGGCTGACCTATTGATTAGCTGAAGTTGGACAGAGCCCGTAGACTGAAAGTTTCAAGGAAAAGTTGATAAGCACCCTCAAGGCCACACACACCCTGATTCATGCATTTCCAGATGACTATACTCCTTGCTTTAGTCAATATTCTGTAAACTAGTTGCGTGGTGCTGAGACTTTGGAGAGAGATCTTCTTTAGTCCCCAAGGTGTAAAGCCACAGTGTAAATAAAGAACTTCCTTCCTCCTCTCTGAGTGATACCTGATTCAGTGAAGGAATTCTGCCATAACAATGTCAGATACCTCTAAAGGCCACAAAATTGTTGTTCTGTTTGCTGGAATTGACAAAGAACCTGTCTAGCCTGGGACATTTGCACCACACATGGTATAGGTAAATTTTGTGTGATGACTTTAAGCAGAATTCAAATTAAATTTTTCAATGAAGTTCAGAATTCTGGAAAAATTTCACTATCACAACCCCCTGATATTTAAAATAGAACTGAGAATGAGTTGGTACTACTTGAACTCAAAGTATGAATGAACTCTTTTTTTCTGGGTTTACCTTCAGGGACTGACTCTCCAACAAGACTATGTGTGAGAAACCACACATACAAAAAAAAAAAACCCACCCCAAAATCTGACATACCCTGGAAGACTCTGATTGAGGACCTAGCATTTGACAGTATACTACCAAAAATAAGAAGAAGTCCTGGGCCTCCCCGGTGGCGCAGCGGTTGAGCGCTGGGTTGTGAAGCTGCCCGTAGCCTCTGCAACGCTGGTTCAATCCCCGGCTGCTCCCCGGCCACCAGAGGAGGGTCCCAATGGCGCGCAGACCTCTCCTGCCGCCCGCTGCTCCCCTCAGCAGTGTACTTCGGTCCTTCTGCCTGCTCTGCTCCCCGCTCTGGCTCTGGTGAATTCTCTCACCCTCCCACGCTTCTGGTTTCTGACTGTGCCCAGTGTTTGTATGAATAAATAAATAAATCTTAAAAAAAAAAAAAGAAGTCCTAATGCCACAAAGCTCCACACATTACACTAGGTGCGGGTGTTGGGTACAAGTGCATCCACCTCGGAAAGAACAACCCACAGTCACGGGAAACATTCACACAGAAGAGGTAAAATGATAGGACTTCATTTTTCTTATTTAAAATGGCTGAGAATAGGGGCCTCCCTAGTGATGCAGGGGTTAAAGACAAGCTATCAGCAGCTACTGCAGCATGAGTTCAATCCCTGGCCAGGGAGCTACCCACATGGCACAGCAGACCTCTCCTGTCTCTCCCGCTGCTCCCTTCAGCAGTGTTTTCGGTCCACCTGCCTGTTTTGCTCCCCACTCTGTCTTTGGTGAATCCTCTCACCAACCCCCCAAACCTCTGGCCTATACCCCAGCTCTTATGTGCATAAAAAAATAAATCTTTAAAAAATATAAAATGAGTATAAAATGACTGAGGATAAAAGATAAAAAAGTGAAAGGTCACCACTATAATCAACAAACATGACTAAAAGGGCAGCCTACCTGGAAAACACTCAACGTGTAAGCCCCTGAATTTAGGGAGCACAGAAGTCTTCATGGTAGAAAACAAGTGAGTATTTGTAACTGGTGAGTGAAGCCAAAGACCTTTATAGGTGGTATACCCTGGAGGGGGTTGCAGGTGAGGATAGACAGCCCCAGGAAAAATGCTAAAAAGTATCGCATTTGGAGGAGGAGCAACTGATAATAAATATAAGGGACTAGAGAATTAGTGGCAGATTATTCACTCTTAGGGATTCAGCGTTTGAGCATTTAGTGTTTGGGATTCAGCGTTTTTGGGGTCAGCGATTATGGCTCCCTCCACGCCTATCTTCCAGAAGGCTGTTGTGAGCCTCTGAATGTGGAGAGGCCTCGAGCAGCCAACCTCAGAGAGGAAAAGTTCAGAGGCTTTGCAAGTAGCCAAGCAAGTGAAACGGTTCCTGGTTTTGCTGTCGTACAGCTGGCAGAAAGGGTGAAGACCGGGAGCAGGAGCTAGGCCATTTGTCAGGTCATTCAGCCGCTGCAGCTGCTGTTTTGAGTGTCGCTTGACTGGTGAGATGCTGGGGCATCTTGGCAGCTCTGGGAGCATCTCCTGTTGAATCTTCTGTTGTCTTCGTGAGTTGGAACTGGGCCTATAGTCTGGCTACCATGTGTCTACAGTGGCAGGAAGATGCCATCTTGGGCACGTGGCCTTTTGTTCAGGAGAGGAGCTCAGCCTTCTCATAGATGGGAAGACAGAGAAGTTGCTTTTGTTTAGGACCTGAAAAAAACTGGTCACTGCTTTGGGTGAGGTAAACAGCCATTTTTGGCCTCAGTAACTCTCTGTTTTTCCCTGGTTTGTTAAACAAACCACACTGTTGTTCTCTGAGCCTGAGTAGTGCAATTGTGCATGCGGGTAAAGAACTCAGACAGTGATTGGTAAACTATTTGGGCAGTGTCCTTGGCCAGTTTTAGTGCCCTTTGCTGTCCTGTATCGTATTGTTATTCAATATTGATATATACTAGGCTAGAGGGTGATAACTGTCTAAATAATTTAGAAGTGCATTTATATCATAAATTTGGAATTCATTCCATAGGTACATAGTAAAGTTTGTGCCAGCAAATATTATACTTAGTTGAAATATAAAATCTAGGATATCTTCACTGCCAAAGGACAAATGAGAAAGTGAAGCAAACTTTTTTTGGTATGATGGGAACTCTGACAATTAAAAGGCATGCGGAATTCTTGGGTACTATTTGTAGTATACGTGCACAGTGCAAATTAGTACTCTTGCCTTTGGTTATATTTTAGCTTAATTTTAAATTTTCTTAAAAATTTTTTTATCTCCCTTGTCTCCATCCCTATTATTTTATTTTTGTGTGTGTGTATGTGTGCTTGGGTGGAAAGCAGAACTACACTTACAACTCTGATTTGGAGAAGTTATGCAAGTGAGGTATCAGAAACTTTACCTAAGGAGCAAAAATTTAACCCCAAAAATAAAAATAAGAAAAATAAACCTCATCTGCTGCAGTATGGGAGATTGCAGAGTCAATTCTAGAAAGTGTGCCTGTTACATTTGTTGAATCTCAGAACAAACTCAACACAAGCTTTATCCCTGGGATTAGTACCAATAGCTTCAAGATGGGAAGTATATGCTTCTGCAGAATTGGGATAAAGTGGGAGAGCAGTAGAAAGCTCTTTTCTCTTTAGTGATAGAATTACTTTGGACAAATAACAAAAGAATCAAGGACAAAACTTATTACACTGATGTGATGAAATGATGTATGAATACTTGAGAAGCAATGGAAATGTTTTAAGGACCTCTACCAGTGGGTGTCTAACTCCTAATTATGATACTAGGGTGGAAGACCCCACCTATAAGTAGAAGCTTAGTGAAAGGATCAACACAAAGGAACAATACTCCAGGTTTGCCTGTGTCTGGATCAGTCAATGCTTGCAGGGGAAGTGACACTCATTTGTGTGCAACAAACATTTGCAGTGAACAATTCCAGTAATTGTTGAAGAAAGGGATTCTTACAGAGAGGCAACTATGCTCCCTAAGACTATGCAAAAATTCTGTTAAGAAATACATGGATCAAGGAGTCTGGTTACCAAAAACTTTGGCACAAAAAAATGTTTAAAAATTGAAAACAAGCCTCTTTGCAGTACCCATCTTTAATTTATGAAGATTATATGTGTACCCATGTATTATTATGTAAATGTGAGCTAAGGGTTAAATATAGCACATCCTTTATTGTCAGTGAATAGGGCTCATTGGTATTTGCACACATGTTAGGGAGTCCAGGAGGAAGAATTTTTCTCTTTGGAGGGGTCAATATATTGGACTCCTGCTTATAGTTTGGGAGGTTTCTCATAAGGCCCACTGTGAGGAAGGCATAATGAAACTCTTCACTTTCTATTAGGTCAGATTCTGTGATGTTTGCTCAAGCTCAGTGTAAGTTTAAGAAACATTCCTTACTCTTTCTCCCTGGCAAGACAGGTATTTTTCTGAGGACCATGTCTAAGCAAATGTGGGATCCCAAAGAGAAACTTGTTCAGGTATCTGAGTAAATAAGGATGTCATAGCAAACTCAGAATAAGCAAGACCCACATTTGACTAGGAAATAATATATCACCTATAGATACATCCCACACTGATAGTGAGCACAACAGTTTCTTCTTGCCTCTGTCTAGCTGCTTTTGGGTTTTGAAAGACAGAATGAGATGCATCTCTAATACTTTTCTGAAATAGAACATACTACCATTTCTATTTTCTATTCTCTTTAATCAATTATTTTTACAAAGAAAAGAGATGTTAGTATATTTCTATTGCAATCTGAAGAAGTCAGAATAGATGGATCAGATGAACTTCACCTATAATATTCTTAGTATTTCATTGCAGTATTTGTAGACTCGGCCACTTCTATCTAGTTTGCTGACTAGACCAAAACATAATAATATTGTATAAGAGTTTTCATTTCAGAGGCTCACCTGTGACAAACATTTCAAATTGTGCTTCACTGTTGTATGTGGACTTTTCAAACAAACAGCTATACACCCCCTCATCAAAAGGGCGAATGGGATGGATCCTCAGGGCTGCCTGCCCTTTGGTGATATTCTCCTTCAGAAACTCTGTCCGTCCTTGGTACTCTGGCATCTGCTGCTCCATATGCTCCCAGGAAGCACCATAACGATGCACCAGACCTGAAGGATGGTTTCGATACCATCTCACCTCCATGTTCTGAGCATCCATCATTGGGTCAAGGTGGCAAGACAATACAGCCTCTTCCCCCACTAAGGCATTGATGGGTGCACTTGGTCCTATCACATGGAATTGTCCTGGAAGAAATTAAGAAAACAATGGAATCATCACTGAAATTGTGGCAGGCATGGTAGTGAACCTCTGAGAGAGAAAATAGACTAGTTCAACTAGCAAAGGGAGGCCACATAGTGTGTAGAACTAAAACAAAGATATCCAAATGCATTGATGATACAAAAGTAATAACAGGATATGATGTCAACAGTATGATGTCAACAGTGTACAACAGTAATATGATCTTTTTTTTTTAAGATTTATTTTTATTTATTTATACATGCACTGGGTACATTCAGAAGTATGGGAGGGTGAGAGAATTCACCAGAGCCAGAGCAGGGAGCAGAGCAGGCAGAAGGACCGAAGTACACTGCTGAGGGGAGCAGCAGGTGGCAGGAGAGGTCTGCGCGCCATGTGGGACCCTCCTCTGGTGTCCGGGGAGCAGCCGGGGATCAAAATGGCGCTACAGAGGCTGTGAGCAGTTTCGCAACCCAGCGCTCAACCGCTGCGCCACCAGGGAGGCCAAACAGTAATATGATCTTATCAACATTTTGTTTTCTAATTTGCCTAGGATTGGACTTTAAATTTATATAAATCACTTATTTAAGTCTCACAAATGCCCTGTGTTATAAAGTAGTATCCTTATTTTTAGATTAGGAAATTGAGTCAATAAATGATTAATAATTTATTCAGTGATTAATGAGTTGAGTCAGTGAGTGATAATTTGCCTCCAAATACTAAGGCATAAATTGAGAATTGTAATATCAACAACCAAAGGTTTCCTTGTTTTAAACCATACATTAACCAATATAATATAACCAATAATGAAATATAATGTAAAATTATTAAAAATGATGTTTTGTGTTAAGAAAAAGGTAGAACATTATATATAATATGTTCCCATTTTAGAAATATGTAAGAGCATATGCTCAGTACAGATGTTTGAAAGCATTGTAGGTTCTTTCTGAATTTAAGCAATGTGAATAATGAGATAATAGCTACAAATCTCAAAAAAAAAATCCAATTTTTTCTGATTTTAATATTTAAGAAAAAATAATGGCAATTAATTAAAATAGTTGGTCATCCCAATTACTGGATTAATTTAGGGTTAAGAATGTGTTGCAAAAGTTATTCTCAGATACTTTTACTTTAAAAGAAGTTATCTTTTGATTAAAGACTTGAATATAATGGATTGTATTCATCCTAGTGGATCAGGGGGAAAAATTTTAAAAACAAATTTTTAATTTAATTTTCCATCATAGTTTTATTTCCTCTGGTTGCAGATGGAAAAGATATTCTGCAAAGCCACATTTAAAGGAAAGTAAAATGGTGATGAAGGCAGTTACTTTTGAGGGGACAGAAATTTGTTTTGAATTGGGGAGAGGCACAAGTGTACTCATTGTGCTGTGATTTGTATGAATCAGTGGATTATTTGTTATGTGATCAAATTATTAGGAGAATTATCTATGATGTGTATCATAGTCTGGTTAATGCTTATTTAACAATAAAACTATTAGACTGTTTTCTACATTCATGGAGAACATTTTCTGCCCTACATTTATATGACATTCTGGAAAAGGGAAAGCTGTAGGAGGGGAATCATTTCTATTATTGCCTCACTGTGAGGAGGGAACTGACCACAAAGAAGCAGAGCAGAACTTCTGTGATTCAGAAGATACTTTGAGGTGAGGAGAGAAGAGGGGAGGGGAGGGGAGGGGAGTTGTTTGGGCCATGAAAATTGCAGCATATATAGCTGGCAAAGGGGTAGTATCCAATAGATGTGGAGGTACCATTTAATAAAGTTAAAACTTAGTCTTTGCACTTTGCTCAGCTGAACAATGCTGGGGGACACAAAATAAACAAGTAGAACCTATAGAGTTGCTGATACAGTTAACAAGTTTGTCTTTTCCCCATTTCTTGCAGTTCCCCCTCATCTAGCATTAACAGGATTAATAGCTTGTCTTTCCCATTTGTTGCAGCGTCCCCCTCCCCTTGAGAAGAAAAACAAGCTGGTGCCCACCAGTTTATGTGCAGACCCTTCCCCCTCCCCCTAATGAAAACAAGCTGGCGATCACCTGTCTCTGCTGACCCCTTCCCCTTCCCTTAAGATGAATGAGCTGACACCCATCAATCTCTGTGAAGACCCCTTCCCCTTCCCTGTCTCTGTGCTGGCACTGTTAGGGGGAAAGGATGTCCTGTGCTAATTCCATACAGGCTTGTGGACTCCACCCCCACTCCAGACCAAAGCTATCAAGACATTGGGAAAGACAAATCCCATCACCACCAAAGGGAAGGTTGCTGGGACCTGAGGGTAGAGTTAAACAGCCAGGTTTGGTATAAAAACCAGACATGTGGGCCTTAGGGTCTCTCTTGCCTCTTGGCTTCAGGGCTTTTGGCTCACTGCCAGCTCTCAGGCTACAAATAACAGCCTCTTTCATGAGGAGACACAGATGATCTGAAGGCTTTCTTTGTGGGTTCAGGGATTTAGGCTCCAGCTGGTGTTTCCCGGGAACCTCAGGCTCAAGTCATTTGTCATCACTCTGCATGCCTATTCCTATGACGCTTTGTAATGGATATTTAAAAACATGTTTAAGATTCATACAAATCACAGTACAGTGAGTACACTTGTGCCTCTCCCCTATTCAAAACAAATTTCTCTCCCCTCAAAAGTAACTGCCTTCATCACCATTTTACTTTTTAAAGATTTATTTATTTATGCATACAAGAACTGGGTTACAGTCCACACGTGTTCAGAGTGAGAGGATTCACCAGAGACAGAGTGGGGAACAGAACAGGCAGACTGACTGAAATACACTGCTGAGGGGAGCAGCAGGCAAGACTGGAGAGGTCTGCCACACCATGTGGGTAGCTCCCTGGTTGGGGATTGAACTCATGCTGCAGTGGCAGAGGGAACTGGGGAGAAGGAGGAGTGGATAGGGGAAGAAAGAGTATAAGGTATTGTTAGGGGAGGTGTGGTGGAGGATGACTAAAATATAAGCACATGTGGAGGAAGAGCCTCGAACACTGACACATATAGACATGGGACATGTAAACAACTGCCAAATTTAATAATAAAAGTAAATAAATAAATTTAAATAGCCAAAAAAAAGAGAGGCCTGTATTCTAGAATGTGGTGTGGTGATATACATTGGAGGATGTATAAACCTATTCCCCTAAATCATATACAGTGTTATAAGTAAATGTTTCCTCAGTAAAAATTTTAACTGAGATAAAATAAAGTAAAAACTAATAGTAAAAAACACTTTGTTTTGCACAGATGCAGCAATGCTAAACCTCAAATTAAGCACATACAGATGGATGACACACTGTCCTTAGATGACCTCTCAGATAGTGAAACTAAGATCTGCCCCAATAAAGTGAAGGATGTAACAAGGAGGAAAATCCAGTGAATGGACCAAGATCTCAGATTGTGGGCTGAATTAGGTCTAAACAACTATAATTTGACCCTCTCCTTACTTCCTTGTTCCTAACTCCAATTATAATCTTTAAATAACCTCTGTTTTCTTCAGACTGAAGAGGAAGATTTGAGGCTTTCCTTTTGCATCCTTGCCAAATAAATAAAGCTTTTTCTTCTTTCAGAAGCAGGTCCCATAGTATCGACTTTATGCATACTTAGCAGTGAGCCCTTGCTTGGTAACAACTGAGGAAAATATAGTATGATTATTTGTGTGTGTGTGTGTGTGTGTGTGTGTGTGTGTGTTTTATGGTTTTATTTAGCAAAAATGTAAAGTGCAACCTGACCTTGGGACTGGTGACTCAAATGGAATCTGGTAGGTATTTTTTTTCCCACCACAAAACTTCATATGTAGTCACTTCAATTCTCCATTTACACAGAAGTGTTGTAATAAAATATTTGTAAACTACATCTGTTAAAAATATACAGATATTATTTAAAGTCACTGCATATTCTAATGTGGGAGTTTTATATCCTAACATGCACTGACCACATGATATTTTCCTCACCAGTTGCCTCAATAAACAACTCCCCTCTTTTCCTTAGTCTAAAACTATTTTATTATAAGATGTTAGTGTAAGGTAATGAAGAGAAGTGACATTAATCCCCTTAATTTTCTATCAATGTGCTAATGAAATACAACCAAAGTAATTTCTAACACATTCCTATATTTTTCAGTTATTATGATTAATACTAGTCTAAACCAATTTCATAGCACACTAACATTTTTAGTGTTGCCTCAGAAAAAGAACTGGTGGGCATAATATCAGCAATTAATGTAGGCAAACACATTTATCAACTACCATCAAGTTAAATCAATAGATCTCTGAAAAATCTTCACAGGTATGTGCACTAAATTCCTAATCCCTAAACCATGTATTTTTAAAAAGAAGCATATAAGTTCTGAGTACCTCTCAAAACCATTAATTGAAACCCATTAAATAACTGATTGTTAAACCATGCAATTAGAAAACTAACATATTTCAATAAACATTTTTGTCAACTAATCAAACTTTCTTTTCACTGTAAGTGTCCCAACAGGTTAGAACTCTGCCTTATTTTTTTTTCTTTCATGCTGATACTCTCTCCCTCCTATCAACCCAGGATGAACTTAATAAGAACTTCCTAGATGGGCCTCCCTGGTGGCACATGGGGTTAAGACACAACCTGTGAAGCTATTCGCAGCCACTGCAGCACGAGTTTAATCCTGGCTGGGGAGATGACCACGTGGCTCAGCAGACTTCTCCTGTCTCACCTGCTGCTCCCCTCAGCAGTGTATTCCAGTCAGTTTGCCTGTTCTGTTCTCCACTCTGTCTCTGGTGAATCCTCTCACCCCCTGCACCTCTGGCCTGTACCCCAGTTCTTCTGTGCATAAATAAATAAATAAATGCTTAAACAAACAAAAACACTTTATGATAATTCACTGTTTACTTTTTCATTAAAATGCAATATTTCATTCTTATTTAAACCAATCTGTTGTGATCAACTGCATGATTCTCAATTAGATAAATTTTTAGTCAACCCTATATAAATATAAAATTCCCATATAGGAACTGATATTTAACTTGAAGAGTTCAAACACACATGGCAAACGAAAGAGTTTTGGTTAAAGCCAAAAGCATTCAAATGTCTTGCCCAGGATCATACATCTTGGTGGGTGCTACATGACCCTGGGATCCTAGAGTTTCTGATTCCAAGTTCTAACAGTGCTGGGCAGCACATGCATTTCTTTTATAGGCTCAGCTTTTGAAAGTGTCTTGTAAAGTAAGAGTAAGAAAGAAAATAACTTAAGATAGCACTTTTAGTTTGTTCACAATTTATTTACATATCAGCTTTACATAATTGCATTACCCTCACCAATTCAAAATAAAATAAATATTCAGAAATGCAGATAGAGAAGTACAAACACAAATGAGATCAATTCTAAGGTCTTCAGGTCCATGAAATGTTAAAAAAGTTAAAGCCCTAGGAGTTCTTTGTGGAATTAAATGACTTCTAATTTAGGAAAGTCATTGTTTCTCCTTCCCACTCACCTGAGCTTGGCCATGGAAGCAGGACTGGGAGCAGGAGGGTTCTGATGACCACGCACAAGGGCTTCATCTCAGCTCCAGGTCTGTGTTGGAGAATCACACCTCTGTCTTCCCACAAACTGTCATAGGTCACAGTCTTGGGGTCTGGTTCACTTTTATTCAGACTCTTTCTAAAACACCGTGAACACAATTCTTAAACACAAAGTGCCTCATGAGAACAGATGTGAAAGTGAAAGAACCAGAGGGGAAAGTGAAAGCAGGAAGTAAGTGGACTCTGAAAAAATTGATTCAACCTTTTATGGAATAAAAAGTCCAATAAGGAAGAAAGAAATATAAAGCAGGGTTATTGATTACACAATGAAGCACACACCCATTGCATGAAGAAACTCAGACTCTAAACTCTTCATTTTAGTTTCCAGACTTGTTTTTCTAAGTTTGGAGGAAAAAAGTCTAAAGTGACTATCATATTTTCATATTGGACACAAGAAACAAACACCAATAGTGTCACATAATATAGTGAGACTTGTGCAAAAGTACAAGAGTTGCAAAGATGCCCTGTTTTTCTGAATCCCACACACATTTTAGTAGAGATGTGCTCTAGTAGAGGAAATATTCTCCCTTTTTGCTCCCAAGTTTTTGGGAGAAATATCTCTGCAAAAATATTTTGGCTAATATAGTTAAAACAACCTTGAAGGTCAATAGTAAAAAAGAAAAAACATAATTTGAGTATGTTGAAGTCCATTAACAGGCATGGTTTATTGTTGCTCTATGATAACCAAAGTGTAAAAGTGGATGACATGTTTGTGTGTGTGTGTATGTACACACAACAAAAACAACATTAGCTCTGAGGAAAATACAACATAAGACCAAAATGAGATATCACTACACATCTGTTGGAAAAACTGCAACTTATTTTTTGAGTACAAACAGACATTGGAAGCAACCAATGTTGCTTCCAAGCAACCACCCTCACCAAAGAACAGATCAACCAACCAGAGACAAACATAAAACAAACAAAATAACTTTAACAAAATAACTTTAAGGAAATAATTAGACTACATGGACTTAATAGCTATTTACAGGGCACACACCCCCCAAAGGCTGAATGAACATCTTGTCAAGTGCACAAGGGATATTCTCAAAGATTGATCACATGCTGGACACAATACAAGTATCAACAACTTTATATCAAGTATCATTTCTGATCACAATGGTATCAAACTAGAAATCAACCGAAAAAAAAATAAAGGAGAAAAAAACTAATTGGTAGAGACTGAACAACACACTACTAAGAAACTTTTGGTTGACAAGGAAATCAATGTGAAAATTTATAATACCTCAAGACAAATGAAAATGAGGACAAAACCTATGGGACACAGCAAAAGGAGTTCTCAGAGGGAAGCAAATAGCAATACAGGGACACATCAAGAAACAAGAAAGAGATAATTAAATATACTCATCTCTCACCTTAGAGAAGCAGGGAAAAAAGAACAAACAAAACCAAAAACCAGCAGAATAAAAGAAATAACATATTCTAGTAGAACTAAAATAGAAATAAAAAAGATAATCCAAAAGGTTAATGACCAAATGCTTCTTCAGTGAAAAAATAAACAAAGTATATAAACCTCTAGCTAGACTCACCAAGAAAAAAGGGAGGAAACTCAAATAAATACAGTCAAAAGTGAAAGAGAAATTACGACATCACAGAATCATAAGAGATTACTATGTATATTTGTATGCTAGTAAATTGAATAACCTAGATGAGATAGACAAATTCTCAGTAATATACAACCACCTGAGACTGAATTAGGAAGAACTTGAAAACCTGAACAGGCCAATTACAGCAAGGAAGTTGAAATGTTGTAGTCTCCCCCTAAACACAGACCCAAGTCTGAATCAACATCAAACATATGAGACTTTAACAAAAAGGAACTTTAATACAACTAGGAAACAATACAGAAAAGGCAAAGAACATAGTTTCTAAATCAAGCACCCAAAGTTATCCATCCCCTCGCGGGTCAAAGTCCACCCAAGCAGAATTGGCCCAGAGCAAAGTCCCGAAGCCTGCCACAAGTCTAAAGCATCTTAGAATGGGGACCCACAGAAAAGAATCAGAAACAATCAGACAAGTCTGAAAGGAAAGGAAATCAAAATCAAAATCAAGACAAAAACCGCTATTGTCACCTCCCAGGGGTCTCTCACCCACATCTGTGGCATCCAGTCCACGACCAAAAGGCAAGCGCAGTTTCTTCACATGTCTCTCGGCTCCATGTGCCTCCTCCAGGTTTCCTTGTGGCTCTCCGTGCTGCTTCCTTCCCTCCTCAGTCTCCTCTGCAGCTTTTTCTCTCTCTGCTCAGCTCCACCATCCTTTTGGGTGGGGCAGGAAACCTGGAACCTCTCCCTTTCCTGGGGACCACCCTGTTGCAGTATGTCAATAAAAAAATTTTAAAGTCTGACTATTGGGAGATGAATAGAAGAAATACAGTGTGGAAAATCCATATACTTCTTATGATGAAGTCTCTGCCTTTTATTTCCTGTGACTTCCCACCCCCATTTTTAAGTATCAGGGGTGTTTCTCCTAGAAAAGCTAATTTTGTTCACTGCTTGATGAGAGGACATTATTGGTGTCAGAATGTACTAATGTGGTTACTGTCTGGTAAATATGGATACTAAGCTCTACAGCTTAATGGTGTGGGACAAACTCCTAAGACTTCCTGGAGCATCTTCCACTGAGCAGTATTAGCAGGTGAGAGAGAGATAAACAGAAGCCTTGTGGAGGTTCCCCCAAAGTGCCCAAAGAGACTTCCTCTTGCCTAGAAGGTTCCTGTGCAGGATTCCTAAAGAAAACTACCTCCATGAACTGATCAACATTAATTTTAAAATATTTAACCATTATTATATTAGAAGACAAACGTAAAATGATGTAAATGTCCAGGCACATCATTTACCTCCTCCTCACATGAACTGCTATCTTTTTTGTTTTCAGTTAATACACGCTCAAAACCAGTTGCTTTGAATTATGTCGTATGCCTGCTAGGAATTCAATTATAGGGAAAAAAATGACATTGACAACTGAAAGTCTTTATTAATAAACTGCATTTATTATCAAATTATGACATAATGTTAAAGAATAAAATATAGTTACCTATAACATTACTACCTAATCTAATCAACTCATCTAAAGGCTGTCTTCAGAAATGAAGTGAAATGTTAATTCAATATGAGAAAAAGAGGAGTCTCTTTACTACCATAGTTCTCCCCCTGCTAAATAAAGAAACGCAAACATCCTCTGAGGAGAAGGACAGGCCCATATTTCCTGCTGTGCCAGGAAGTTCATACCTTTTACATCGGGCACCATTAACCTTGAAGGAGCTGCCTGCCATGTGAGCATGTGAAGGGGGAGCAAAGCAGACCAAGGAGGGTGCTCACCTGCTTCCACAGGCATCTTAGTGGAGGTCAAGGTGGTTGGGGCTGCCAGGCAGCTGGGGAGGAGGAGGTGCCAGGCCCAGACCTGGAAGGGCCCTCAGCATTTGACTCTGGGCCTCCTGGCAGGTTGTAAAGCTCCTCACAATGAGGTAATGTTCACGCCCCTCCTGTGGACACATCCCCACTATGGACTTGAGCATTCTGTAGTGCAGAGCTTATCCCTGAGCTGGCGTTCCTCCCCCATCAGTGCAGCCAGGGTTTCTCTCAGTGCCTCCCACAGCGCACACCATGCAGGTTCTAAATGACTGGACAAGTCTGACTGCAAAGAGGAGAGGCCGCAACATGCCGATGGTAGGCCACCCCTCTGCCTCTCCTGCCTCTCCTGCTGGAGCCTGTGGGCCATGAATCCTGTACTCAAAACATGGGACAGCGGCCCCTCTGCCACCTCACCCCACTCCCCACGAATACAGCTGAAGCCAAGCTCCACAGAGGACCACAGCCTTCCATGGCACCTCTCCACTGGGCAGTCACCACAGGTGCACAGCCAAATGCTGGGACACCCCAGCATCCCAACTGGAACCCCACCAGCCACTGGCCACCTGGATGGGTAAGTAGTTATGTGCCCAGTGAGGGGAGGGGAAAGAACTGTGAATAAATATTGCCTAAATGCTGCTTGATGCCTGTTCTTTCCCTCTTTTTGTCTTGTAGCAATAGAATTAAAATACAATTAAATCTGTCAGTTTCATTTAAACAAATGTTTAAAACTTAATACCCACCTACAGTGTCCAACAAACTGTCAATATAAGATTCATATTCAGCTTGACCAACACTGGATACTGTTCATCTGCTGAGTTACTACCAATCACCTAAGTTTCAAAGAGAACATGTAGTGTAGTTTGCTGCTTACTCACTAGTAATTCTTCTTTCATTGATAGTCTACTTTAACAGAGGTGAGTAAATATGGGGAATCAGATCAGTGGTGTTAGAGACCCATAAACATGCATGGGATTACTGAGATAAGACAGATACAGAACACTTAGGCATAGGGCACCAATCACAAGGCTGCAGAACCAGAGGGTAAAGTCTGGAGTTCTCAGAACACTCAGATAAGGGATCAGGTGTTGGGGACTGTACCACCACCTGGCATAGCTGATACCACTGGGACTGGGAGGAAAATTAGACACAAATCAAATTTGCATATTAGAACAGATACATATATTTTGATCTATTAAAACTCAGCAGTAAATAGTGCTGAAAAACAAACTCTTGCACATGAAACAATAAGAATGAATTTCACAGAGAGTGTTGAGAGAATAGACTAGAAATGCAAAAGTACCTCAGAGGGTTTGCATCAACTGGAGCTTCAGAAAAGGGCAGAAGCAAACAGTGCTGATAGGAAATGCAGGTGTGGCCGCTTGGGGGCAGGTGCTCATTAATGGCACAAAGGGAGACTTTCCCTTTCCCTTAAATCCCTTATTATCTGCACACTGTTCCAGCTTGGATTCCTCTGTTTTCTTCTGAGTAGGATTCCTTTTCTTTTGGCCTTACCCTGTGTAAAGAGAAACAATCCTGATCTTATTTAGATGGATCTGCCCATTCCTACTGTTAACCAGAGCTAACAATTAAGAGGGCACCGATTCCATGATCCCACTTAATGGGGGGTCAAGATACAGGACACAGAAGGTCTGGCCCTGAAGACACTATGACAAGAAAGCAAAAATGAAAATTGCTGTCTTTGTGAAAAAGAAGATGTCAAAAACTATTGTCTCCAGACAAATCTGTAACTTCAATGGAAACAATAC